ACGGAACTGGGCTTGCTCCTTATCTGTGATGATTTCAAGAGCATTTTGGCTGAAAGCTCAAGTGAACACTCCTCCCACCCTATCAGGCCCCGGGAGAGGGGAAAACAGCTGGTGGCATGTGGGGGAGTTTATAAGCAGCATGGGCGGCCATGGGGCAGGGGGCCTGAGGTCTTTGGAGAAGGGGGGCTGTTTCCGCCGTTCTGGCGCCTCCAGGGAGGGAGATGCCCTTGAACTCTTTGAGCCTGAGGTGGGCAAAGGGTTCCTGATGGTCTTGGTGGGGCACAGGAGGGGACAAGGATGTGGGGAGGACTTCAGGAAGAGGAGTAAGGTGAGAGCGAGTGAGCGGGAGGGGGAAAGGCCCACGCACGATTTGCAGTTGGTTTGGCCAAGGAGCGAAGGAGCCAAGGGTGGAAGTCGCCCCAGGGGGCAAAGGTGGGGACCACTGAGGCTGGAGACTGTGCAGGGAGGGCCCCCAGCCACTCGGGATCCTTCCGTGCAGGGCTAGGGGAGAAGCAGCTGGGGTTGGCTGGACGGTGGGAGACAGGGGCGTGCTTGGTGGGGGGCAGGGCCACAGCTGGACCCCTCCCAATGCTGCTCAGTCTGAGTCTTCATTACGTGAGGAGGTGGCCCACGTTCTCCCCCAATTAGTGCTTAAGCCCGGAGAACCCAGAAAACCAGGTTCTAATTCTGATCACAGATTGAGCTTGGGTAAATCTGTCACCCTCGTGGAATCTCCCCACCCCCCCCTTTGATTTTTATTTATTTATTTTTAAAGATATATCTTATTGATTTTTTACAGAGAGGAAGAGAGAGAGTTAGAAACATCGATGAGAGAGAAACATCCATCAACTGCTTCCTGCACACCCCCCCACTGGGGATGTGCCCGCAACCAAGGTACATGCCCTTGACCGGAATTGAACCTGGGATGTTTTAGTCCACAGGCTGACGCTCTATCCACTGAGCCAAACCGGTTTTGGCCCCCTTTGATTTTTAGAGAGAAAGGAGAGGAAAAGGAGGGAAAGATCAATGTGAGAGCAAAACATCGATCTGTGGCCTCCTGCACACACCTCACTGAGGATCGAACCCACCACCAGGCATGTGCCCCGCCTGGGAATCAAACTGATGACCTTTCAGTGTACAGGACAACGCCCAATCGACTGAGCTACCATACCCAGGGGACCCTCTTGCAATCTCGATGACCTCACCGGGAAAACAAAGTCCCCGCCTTAGGGTGCCATGAGAATTAAGTGAGAGGGTGGCTGTGAAGTTGCTGGTCCCGACAATGTCAGGTTCTCTGGCACAGCATCAGCTTCTTGGGGATGGACCTGGGAAAGAGCCGGGGCGGGCTGCTTTCCTGTAGCCTCCCCCTCAAGTGCCCCTGTGCTTTGAGTGAGACGGCTGCCCTGACCCTAGGCGGGGTCCAGAGAACCCAGCATCGAAGGACAAAAACATCCGTCCCACTCAGGGCTCCCGGTCCCTTCTGTCTCTGAGGGCCTCTGAGCCCCCCCAAAGTCCTAGCAATCCCTTGGCGTTGGAGAGGCCGTAGAGGGACATTTCTCACCTTACGGGACACAGCCTGGCTTTCTGGGAGGATGGGGGAACTGCACATTCCTCCTGAAATAATCGTCCCGGAGCTATTTCCAGAGGCTCTCAGTGCCCAGGCCAGAAATGGCCAGTGATCTCGATGCCTGGGTGCCGTCAGGACAAACACGGCACAGGCCCAGCCCCCAGTCCAGAGCAGAACCAGACCTGGCCGAGGCCCCACAGAGCAACAGCTGACACCACTTCCCTGGTTCCCTGAGTCCTCCAGTGGACCTCTTCATCCTCGGGGGGGGAAAGGTAGGGGCGCTGGTCCTTCCTTTCAGCTCCCTGTTTCGGTGACTATTACCCTATTACCCCACCCCCACCCCCCACCCCCATGCAAAAAGCCCTTCTGTCTCAGTGATTGTGGCTGGGAGGCCATAGGCAGAGCTTTCTGTGTAAAAGTGCTTTATAATCTTGAATCTTTTCGTTAGAATACATCCGATAAACCCAAATCGCCAGTGCTCTTCAAAAATGCCAATGTCATAAGACACCCAGGAAGACGGAGGGACTTCCCGGTTAAAGGGAACCAGAGACCTGAGAGCTAAGGGCAATGCCTGGTCCTGAATCGGACCCTGGATGAAATGCTGGAGGAAGAGTTGCCATGAAGAGCATCAGAGGGACAAGACGGGGGATTTGAATACAGACTGCATATTAGATACTAGAACTGTATCAACATTGAATGTCCTGTGATTGTCATCGTAGCTTGGACATGTAAGGAAAGATGCTTCTCCCAGCGTGTGTGTAGGGGACACATGCTGAAGTATTCAAGGGTAAAGGTATTGTTGTCTGCAACTTACTCTTAAAATAATTAGCTGAAACCGGTTTGGCTCAGTGGATAGAGCGTCAGTCTGCGGACTGAGAGGTCCCGGATTTGATTCTGGTCAAGGGCATGTACATTGGTTGCGGGCACATTCCCGGTGGGAGAGGGAGTGCGGGAGGCAGCTGGTCGATGTTTCTCTCTCATCGATTTTCTAGCTCTCTGTCCCTCTCCCTTCCTCTCTGTGTAAAAAAATCAATAAAATATGCTTTAAAAAATAATAATTATTGGGGGGATGTGTAGTGACAAATATGGCAAAAGTGTTAATTATTAATCGATGAAAAAATAATTAGTGGATTTGGATAGAAACTATATGGGAGTTATTATATTATCTTAGAAGTTTCCAGTAACTGGAAATCTTTACAAATAAAAAGTAAACCTGTATTTTTAATTTTTAGGGAAGGAAATGTTGGAGGGAGGGTTTCCTTGGCAAATACAGTAAGAACTCAAAAAGGGGGTTTTGCTTGTGTTTTCAGCGAACATGTACTGGGCGGCTTCTGAGGACCAGATACTCAACACTAGGCTGTTGAGGGTATGAGGAAGAGGTGAGAAGGGAGGAAAGAAGGTGCTGTTATGCCCAGGGATGGGTCATTCAAAGGGGTAACACTCCACGCCTCTGGAGACGTGTTTACTGACCCGATGAGAAAAGAGAAGTCATTGATGCTGACCACAGCCCATGGGAATTACAGTAGACTCGGCATAGAACTTCCTGTCTCTCAGCACAATTAAACACTTAGAAAACCAACAAGGGATGCTGGAAAACGCCCATCCCAGCCCCGCTTAAAAATAGGGTCCATCTGCCTTGGGAGGCTTAAAGTGGCACTGGCCTTGAGGCAGGGGCCTGACCAGGATGACCCCAGGAGGCCCCTCCCAGCGCTAGGATTCCGTGATTCTATGACATGGCCAGCAGTCTATGTGAGGGGAACATCAGTAGACACCAAGAAGAGGGCCACGTCATCTACCTCCTACACACACAGTGAGAGTGGGAGGGGGCCTTTTGGCAGATGGGGCCCAGCCAGCCAGCCAGGGAAGGGCGGGGCCCTGTGAGGATCAGCCCTCAGTTACCTCCTATTTTCTCAGAAGAGGAAATGGGGGAGGGGTTGGACCAGAGAGGGAAGAGGCAGGTCTGGACATCCCACTTGACTCAGACCCAAAGGACAAGGGCAGCTGATGGGCGACGGGCTGGGAGAGGGGCTGGCAGCTGTTTTCTGGGTGGGACAGGTTCACATCCAGCTCTGTCCTTACGAGGCAGAAGTGGAAACTTAGCCTCGAGCTGGCATTACTCGGGGAGAGAAATGAGAGCCTTCCTTCTGGTGTGGGGAGTACTGGGGAACTCAACGACAATGGGAACAGGGACAGGAAGACGCTGCTACCTTTGGCTGGGCCCAGGCAGGCTCAGGAACAGGAGTGGGGGTTAAATGGACCGGGCATCTCTTTGGCCTGGTCAGGGCTTAGTCCCTGTGAAGTGCCTACATTTGAAGCAGGAGGAGTAGGTGTCCCAATACTCACTCCCTTCTTTGTGGGATGGATGAAAAGATCTCTGTTGCTAGAGAGTACCAAGGCCAAATATCCTGGGAGGTTCTGATTTCACAAGCCCAACCTCGTTAGTGGGTTTGTCACGCCACCTGCCCCCCACCATTTGGGGTTCAAATGCAGCTCCATTCTTAGTTATGGGGTAGCAAGTACCCCTCTGCATCTGGTTCTCCCCTTCACGCCCCCATCCAGGCAGGCAGAGCAGGTGTGGTGAGACTTCTTCCTAAGGAGACTGGGAAGGAGGCCAAAGTCACCTCGACAGCATGGCATTGTCTTTCCGGGGGTCATCCGACACACCTAAGAGAGTACCTTGGCCCCACCCCTAACAAGCTGTGTTATCTGGAGACAAGTCACGTCATCTCTCTGAGCCTCAGTTTCCTCATTATCATCTAGGAAAAGAATAGCAACTACCACCTTAGTTTGCAGAAAGAATTCCATGCCAGACACAAGCAAAGATCCGGGCTCAGAGATCGTGCGTCTAGGACTGCATTGCTTCTAAGACACATTTTTTTCGTATCGGAGTACATTGTGTAGTTGTTGATTAGCGAGTTGACATTGTCTCGTAAGAAAGCCTGTCTCAGTGCTTGGAAATTCACCATTAGAGATTCAGAGCTGGGCCTCTGTGGGTTAAAGGGCAAAGAGGAATTTCAGAATGTGGGCTAGAGCTAAGAGCAGAGAAAGACTCCCACTCTTTCTAGGGGTCTTCTGGCTCCTTCATTTTCAGGATCTTGCCTTCCTACCTTCAGAAAGCCCTATTACTGTGACAGCCCCCACTGTCTGCTCTGCACAGATGGTCCCTTTTGCCCTTCTTTGTGCTTTCTGAATCCTGGGGTGTCTGTTTTTCGGTTTGGAAATCCCTGGGCCTAGGAGGAAGATGGGGAGGAGGAGAAGGGTGGGGTGTTGGCTCTGTGGAGGCTGATGGAACACCTGGAGAGAAATCCAGGAGGGAGGTGGCAGGGAGCTGAGGAAAGCTGACCTAACTCTCCTCACCAGACCCCAGGTAACCAACTTCCAGGGGAGCTCACAGCAGTTCAGTGGCACGAAGCTTTACCCTCCTAGCAGGCCAATGTCTGGGCGCCAGGTGAGACTTCCCAACACTCACAGCCACTTGAACCATCCCAAGAATGTGTCCTTTCGAATCCCGACTCCAGGCTGTTTCCAAAGCCCTGAGACAAAGCCTATCAGCCTCAAACGTCCTCGCACCCCAAAGGCCTGGGAGTTAAGCAGCTGCAACAACTCTTCGGAACAGTCCGACAGCCCCAGCTCCCCTCCACTTCCAATGAGGAGAATCTGCACGGGCCAGCCATACTCCTCCAAGCTCATAGAGACGGGCTACCCGAAGAACCGCCCCAAGATAGCCAGAAAGCCCTGTTACCGTGACAGCCCCCACTGTCTGCTCTGCACAGATGGTCCCTCAGACCACTCCAGTCCCTCCTTTCTGGACCAACTCATCAGAGGCATCAACTACCTTGACAGATCCATCAGCTGCTCCCAATCACTGAACCTGCCAAGGCTCGCAGTCAACTACCTAGAACAGGCTGCTGGCTCCTACCTGGATCACCAAGACCACTCCTCTCCCTGCAGTTACTCCAAACCCAGCACCACCAAGGTGCCAACCACCAAGGGTGTCAATGCTTTGCGATCTGTGGATGGTGCCGTCAACACAAGTTGCTCACATCAGTTTCGTAGCCAGAACCCCCCTCCGACGCAGCCACAGAGACAAGAGATAAAGTTGCCTGAGCTCCCTTTGTTTGGCAACAAGATGTTTTCTTTAGGTCGCCTGCCCAAGTTCTGGGATGAACTCCGCTCGTGTTGGAATGCCCCTCTTGAACCCACCTCCAAACCTGGTAACTGGTGGTAACATTGACACCAACCATGAATGGACACACGTCCATCAGTCTGCTGTTGTGAAAAATAAATTGTCTCTGGCAAAATGCTCCTTCCAAGGCTCCATTGAGGGGAATGGCCATATAGATTGGGGATTATAAATTCGAGGACTTTTGGGGCGGGCAGTTAAAAGTTAATGGGTGAGCTAAAACCAGTTTGGCTCAGTGGATAGAGCATCGGCCTGCAGACTGAAAGGTCCCAGGTTCGATTCCGGTCAAGGGCATGTACGTTGGTTGTGGGCTTATCCCCAGTAGGGGGTGTGCAGGAGGCAGCTGATCGATGATTCTCTCATCGATGTTTCTAACTCTCTATCCCTCTCTCTTTCTCTCTGTAAAAAAAAATCAATAAAATATATATTAAAAAAAAAAAAAGTTAATGGGTGAGCCCAGCTGGTGTGGCTTAGTGGTTGAGCATGGATCCACAATCCACTAATGGTTCTCTGTCATCATGGATGTTTCTTTCTTTCTTCTTCTTCTTTTTTTTTTTCTTAATCCTCACCTGAGAATATTTTTCCATTGATTTTTAAAGAGCATGGAAGAGCCGAAACCAGTTTGGCTCAGTGGATAGAGCATCGGCCTGCAAACTGAAGGCTCCCAGGTTCCATTCCGGTCAAGGGCACGTACCTTGGTTGCGGGCACATCTCCTACGGGAGATGTGCAGGAGGCAGCTGATTGATGTTTCTCTCTCATCAATGTTTCTGGCTCTCTATCTCTCTCCCTTTCTCTCTGTAAAAAAAATCAATAAAATATATTAAAAAAAAAATAAAGGGCACGGAAGAGAGAGGGAAAGGCAGAGGAAAATATCAATGTGAGAGAAACATGCCAATTAGTTGCCTCTTGCACATGCCCTGACCAGAGCTTGGGCTGGGACCCAGGACCTTTCAGTCTGCAGGCTGACACTCTATCCACTGAGCTAAACTGGCTAGCGAGTCATTGATATTTCTTTTCTTTTTTTAAAATGGATTTTTATTGATTTCAGAGAGGAAGGGAAGAGAGAGAGATAGAAACATCAATGATGAGAAAGAATCATTGATTGGCTGCCTCCTGGATGCTCTCTACTGAGGATCAAGCCACAACCCGGGCATTTGCCCTTGATTGGAATCAAACCTGGGAACCTTCAGTCCACAGGCTGATGCTCTAGCCACTGAGCCAAACCAACTAGGGCCATAATTGATATTTTTATCTCTCTCCCCTTTTCTCATTTCTCATTCTCTCTCTGAAATCAATAAAAAAGTATTTAGCCGAAACTGGTTTAGCTCAGTGGATAGTGTCAGCTTGTGGACTGAAAGGTCCCTGGTTTGAGTCCGGTCAAGGGCATGTACCTTGGTTGCAGGCACAATCCCAGTGGGTGGTGGGGGGGAAGTGCAAGAGGCAGATGACTCTCTCTCATCGATGTTTCTAACTCTCTGTCCCTGTCTTTTCCTCTCTGTAAAAAATTAATAATATATATTATTAATATATATATAAAGTATTATATATATAAAGTATTTTATATATAAAGTATCATATATATATATATATATATATATATATATATATATAGTATTTTAAAAAGTTAATGAGTGAATTGAGCTGGGTGGTAGAGACTATATCTGAGTGGAGAGGGAATACCTGGTCAAAACTCAGTCTCAAATGGATTGTTGTCTTTTCAAGAAAAGCCAGGAATCTGAGTTTAATATGTTAGCAACAAATTTAAAAAATGTTAGCTCAGCTGGTATGGCTCATGGTTGAGTGTCTATCCATGAGCCAGGAGGTCATGGTTTGATTCCCGGTCAGGGAACATGCCCAAGGTTGTAGTACTTGATCCCCAGTGTGGGATGTGTAAGGAGGCAGCCAATCAACAATGTTTCTTTCTTATCATCATTTTTCTATTTCTCTACCCCTTTCCCTTCTTCTCTCTCTAAAAATCAATTAAAACATACTTTAAAAAAAAAAGTCATAAGGCTCTGTGAGATGAACAAAAATACTTGTTGGCTGAGTGTGAAGCTCACAGGAGCCTCTGGTTTTTATCTTGCATGGGTCACTGGGGAGGTTCTTGGCTTCCCTTACTCTCGGTTCCTGCTTGTGAAGAAATAGATTATTTATACCCAACCAAACTCTTCTTTTTCCAGGATTATTAACTTTAGCACAGCCCATGTGAGCAGAAAGGTAGAAGTGATGATGATGATGATGATAGCAAACCCTGTAGAGCCCTTACAGGCACTGTTCTAAGTGGTGGTGTTGTTGTTCCAAGTGTTTCATACATATTTATGCTTTTAAAGATGTGGTTTTGGTGACCAGGTTTTGGATGCAGAGAAAAGTTTACAATGCCCAGTGTGAGACGTGTTGGAACAGACAACCTGAGTTAGTGGGAGGTGAAAGGATGGCTCTTCTTGGGAAATCTCTGAAAAGAATGGTTCTGTTCGCCCTGACTGGTTTGGCTCAGTGGATAGAGCATTAGCCTGTGGACTGAAGGGTCCCGGGTTCGATTCCGGTCAAGAGCATGTACTTTGGTTGTGGGCACATCCCCAGCTGGAGGTGTGCAAGAGGTGGCTGATAGATGTTTCTCTCTATACCTCTCCCTTCCTCTCTGTAAAAACAAAACAAAACAATATATTAATAATAATTAAAAAAAAAAAGAATGGTTCTGTCCAAGTCAAGTGAGGGTTGGAGGGTCAGAAGAGGTAGTCCCACATTTCTTGCTGGGAATACCTGAAGAAAGTGTTCCCTGGGCCACTGAAGGCTCTGAACTTTCAGACTCAACAGGTCCTTCAAGGCACTCAGGTATCACCATCCTGCTGATGAGGAACTCTGGAGCCTGGGATTCCAACCTAGTTTCTGCCACTCATCTGCCCAGAGACCTTGGTCTCATCCTTTCCCCTCTCTATGCCTCTGTTTCCTCTTCTGTAACATGAATGGGGTAGCTTTGATGATCTCTAAGGGTGCCTGGACTCATATTTTTGCATTTCTCCTGATCCCATCAGAGGCCTAGAGCTTTCTGAGCTGAGAATTGAGACCATACCTCACCCGAACTCAAGTCTAAGTCTCAGGACTCATTTCTATGTGGCTCTGAACTTCCGACCCAGCCAGATCCTTCTTGCTGGAACTCTCCTTGGAAATAATAGAGTATGGAATGGAGTTGACCTTGAAATAACCTGAAGGTCTACAAGGTTCCATGGCTCTTGGAGGAGGTGGCCTATGGCCAAGCAGAGAAGGCCTGAATAACTCTACCATGAGATTGGTGAGGTGGTCCTAGGATAGGAAAAAGGAAGGGGGCACTGAATCCCCAGCCCATTGACTTCACCCCCGCTTCTATTCTGTCTCTGAAGGACAAGGGTGATCCTTCCTGGGTTCAAAGCTCAACAGCTTCTTTGTCTCTGGTTGCTCTTACCTTCCCGGGAAGAAGACTTTGGCCTTTGTCTGAGAGAGTCCTCAGCCCTCCAGTGACTTATTCCCCAGGTAAATAGTCACAGGAATGTAGCTTGTTAGAATCCATGTTGGCCCAGCTCAGGAGATAGTTCAAGAGTGTCCTGAAGCCCTGGTTGGGTAGCTTAGTTGGTTAGAATGTAATCCCAATACTCTTAAGGTTGCAGGTTCAATCCCCATCAGGGTATATACAAGAAATAGCCAATAAATACATAAACAAGTGGAACAACAAATCAATGTCTTTCTCCTCTCTCTCTCTCTCTCTCTCTCTCTCTCTCTCTCTCTCTCTCTCTTCTCCCTTCCCCTTCTCTAAAATCAACCAATAAATAAAGTGTTTAAGATTAAAAAAAAAAAAAAAAGTACCCTGATTCCTAAACTCAATCTGGCCCCTCAAAGCCATCTCCTTCCTGCTTTAAGCCCATATTTGCAGAAGAGTCATTCTGACTCTCCTAAGGATGCCTACCTCAAAAATGGTCCAATTTCCCCTAGTCAGAGTGTAAGACCCCTGCCTAAGACACTGTTCTCTCCAGTATCTAGCCCAGTTCTGGCTCACAATAGGGGCTCAATTATATTGATATGGATTAAAGGGCCTTATGCCTAGTATGTGCTCAGTAATGATAACTACTATTATATTAAAAGTAATTCCAGTACCTTGCACACTGTGGACTTTTGATAACTAATAATGATGACAGCCAACATTTATTAAGCTCTTAACTATACCCCAAGCATTCAGTGCCTTATATGTATTAACTCATTTAAGTCTCATACCAATCCTTTAAGTAAAGTTCTATTGCCCCTATTGTTATATATATATATATATTTTATTGATTTTTCCAGAGAGGAAAATGGAGGCACAGAGAGATCAGGTATAAATGATGTGCTAAAGATGGTTACAGTGCATAGAACACAGCAGCTCTTCAAAAAATGGTTGTGGGGGTTAGGGAATTGGAATGGGGGTGTTGAGGACAAATATGTGATACCTTAATCAATAAAGAAATTAATTTTAAAAATGGTTGTGCAGAGTAGGTGCTCAATAATAATTATCTTTAGGATGACAACATCTTGGAAATAGAAGGTGCTCCACAAATGCGTACTGTGGGTGCCCAATGAATGGTAGATGTCATTACATAGCCCAGTGCATAGTAGGTGCTCAAATAAAATTTGACCATTGGTTGGGGATACAATTGTACCCTAAAGGGACAGGATCTCTGTGGCTGGCTCAAACGTCTCAGGATATATACCCATGACTCACAAATCCCTTCCACCTGTCACTCAGCCCAAGTCCAGAGAAAATAAGGCTCTTAGTTCGAGAAGGCCCTCTGCCTCCTGTGGCCATGTGGAGGCCACCGGAAGTGCCTGTATCCACCATTCAGACCATGCATCTGCAAGGTCCGTGTAAACAGGAAGCAGCAGGCAGGCTGCAGAACAATGTCACGGCCTACTGTGCTGTCCATCTGTGTACAGAGTGGCCTCGGTATCTCCACAGCAGAGTGTGGCCAGGGAAAGTCCTTCGTTATTCAGCAAGCACCCATGCTATCATAAGTGCCAGGCATGCTGAAACATAGGCTCT